ATACTCTCTAAGCCTCACACATCATATCATAGTGCTCGGTTCTCAACTTCATTCTTGTTCGCCTTGACTCTGAAGGCTGGTGTGCTACAGCTTCCGAGTGTTAAAGTCGTTGTATCTTTGGGGGCATTACGCACTGACCCGTTAGCACTACACGGGGCATATTTGTCTTGCGGATAGATTTCAATCGCCTCGGCTTAAATCTCTCCGCGTTCTAGTTGAAATTATTTTTGTTTTTAGTTCTTTTGTACGAACTGAACAATTCAATCAGTTCATATGTCCCGTTGTAATACGAAACACACGTTGTTTAACAATCGCAAGACAAATATTCGACACCTACTGAACTGATGGCATCCACTGGAGAAGGATAAAAAAATCAACCACCTGTCACTCCCGCTGTTCATGTTCCCCAACCTGCTGTTCATGTTCCCACTGCTGAGAAGCCCGAAAAATTCAACGGGCTTGATTTCAAGAGGTGGCAGCAGAAGATGCACTTCTATCAAACTACTTTGGGTTTTGGTGAAGTATCTGAAAGACGACCCTCCTGTCGTGGCTGAAAATGAATCGAATGTTGAGCTACGAGCAACATACGATGCTTGGGGGCAAGGTGATTACCTATGCCGGAACTATGTCCTCAACGGACTGAGTAATGAGTTGTACAATGTGTATAGCTCGGTTGGTTCTGCCAAGGAACTGTGGGCTGTCTTGGAGAAGAAATACAAAACTGAGGATGCCGGGGCGAAGAAATTCGTCGTCGGCAAATTCCTGGAATTCAAGATGGTCGCCACTAAGACTGTCGTGTCTCAAGTGCAAGAGTTCCAACTCATCTTGCACGACATTCATGCTGAAGGGATATCTCTGAGCGAGTCATTCCAAGTTGCGGTTGTAATTGAGAAACTGCCACCGGGTTGGAAAGACTTCAAGAACTACCTCAAGCACAAGAGGAAAGAGATGAGTCTTGAAGACCTGGTTGTTCGTCTTCGCATTGAAGAGGACAGTCGGAAGTCTTCGGGGAAGGCCCCGATGATGGAAGCTCGTGCAAACTTGCTGGAGCAAGGGAACTCGAGCAAAAGGAAGCCCCTTATCAAAGGGAAACAACAGCCTGCCAAAGTCTGGAAATTTACCGGCATTTCCACAACTGTGGAAAGCCGAATCATATGGCAAAGGACTGCAGGAAGCCTAAAAAGGCTGGTCTGAAGAAGGCACCAAATAGTGCCCTCGTTGCTGAACACGGCCATGTGCCGGGTGAACTAACCGACATGGACATCTCGGCTGTGGTGTTTGAAGCCAATTTGGTGGATAACCCAAGGGCGTGGTACATTGATACTGGTGCCACTCGCCACGTGTGTTCCGACAGGGGGTTGTTTTCTGACTGCACTCCTTCAACTGGTCGGAAGCTCCACATGGGCAACTCCTCCTCGTCTGATGTGGCTGGAGTTGGCATCGTGGTGCTGAAGCTGACGTCTGGAAAAGAGTTGAAGCTGAAGGATGTGTTGCATGTCCCAAACGTCCGCAAGAATTTGGTCTCCGGGTCTCTTCTTTTTGAACATGGTTTTAAGCTTGTATTTGAAGCTAAGAAGTTTATTCTTAGCAAGTATGGTAGGTTACTTGGTCGTGGGTATCTCGACAATGGTTTATTTAAAATGAATGTAATGGTTGTGAGTCGTGTAACCGTTTCTGCTGATAATAAAAATCGTACTTCTGTTTATATCGTGGAGTGCTCTGATTTATGGCATATTAGATTGGAACATGTTAATCTAAATGTAATTAAACGGTTGATGAACTTAGAATTAATTCTTAATTGTAAAATTGAATCACACAAAAAATGTGAAATTTGTGTTGAAGGCAAAATGGCTAAATTACCTTTTCACTCGGTGGAAAGAAATACTGAACCGTTGGGTTTAATCCAGACTGATGTATGTGACTTGAAGTTTGTGCAAACAAGAACGGGTAAAAGATATTTTATAACTTTTATTGATGATTGCACAAGGTTTTGCTACTTATATCTTTTAAGAAGCAAAGACGAGGTTGTGAAAGCTTTTAAAAATTTTAAGACCGAAGTTGAAAATCAACTCGGCAAAAAGATTAAAATAATCCGAAGTGATAGGTGTGGGGAGTATGTAGCTCCTTTTGAACAAATATGTTCTGAATATGACATAATTCATCAAACGACGGCCCCTTATTCTCCACAGTCAAACGGTGTTGCTGAACGCAAAAATCGAACTTTAAAAGAAATGATGAATGCCATGTTGATTAATTCAGGATTACCACAGAACATGTGGGGGGAAGCTGTTTTGACAGCAAATCATATCCTGAATAAAATACCACCTAAAGGGAAAAATGAGACTCCTTATGAAATGTGGAAAAATCGTAAGCCATCTTATAAATACCTGAAAGTGTGGGGGTGTTTGGCTAAGGTTTCAGTTCCTGAACCAAAACAAATGAGAATCGAACCTAAAATAGTCGATTGTATTTTTATTGGATATGCGTACAATAGTACTGCATATAGATTTCTGGTTCATAAATCAGAAAATCTGGAGGTATCGGTTGGTACCACTATTGAGTCAAGGAATGTTATATTCTTCAAGAATATTTTTTTTATGAAGGAAAGGGCAGAATCTAATTCTAACAAAAGGACGTATGAAACTGCTAGCAGTTCTGTACCAGATGGTACTGAAGATAAAGAAGAAGAACCGAGACGTGGTAAAAGGGTAAAAACGGCAAAAACATTTGGACCTGATTTTATTACGTATATGTTAGACGATGAACCGAGTTCCATTAAGGAAGCTCTGTCTAGCCCAGATGGACCACTCTGGGAAGAAGCTATAAATAGCGAAATCGAGTCTATTATGCAAAATCATACTTGGGAATTGGTTGATCTCCCTGCGGGTTGTAAATCTTTAGGATGCAAGTAGATCCTAAAAAGAAAATACAAAGCTGATGGAACGATTGATAAGTTTAAGGCAAGATTAGTGGTCAAAGGTTTTAAACAAAAAGAAGGTTACGACTTCTTTGATACCTATTCACATGTGACACGTATAGCGTCAATTAGAGTGCTTCTCTCGATTGCTGCTTTGCACAATCTTGAAATTCATCAAATGGATGTCAAAACAGCATTCTTGAATGGTGAATTAGAAGAAGAAATTTACATGGAACAACCCGAAGGTTTTGTAGCACCTGGACAAGAGAAAAAGGTGTGCAAATTGATCAAATCCTTGTACGGACTTAAATAAGCTCCAAAACAATGGCATTTAAAATTTGATGACGTGATGTTGTCTAATGGGTTCAAAATCAACGAATGTGACAAATGTGTTTATGTTAAAAACACATCGAATACATATGTAATTGTATGTCTATATGTAGACGATATGTTGATCATGGGGAGTAGCCATGAAGTGATCATGGATACGAAACGAATGTTGAAAAGAAATTTCGACATGAAAGACATGGGTGTAGCTAATGTAATTCTTGGAATAAGGATTATCAGAACCCAAGATGGAATTGTCTTATCACAATCTCATTACATAGAGAAAGTGCTCAAGAAATTCAATGCCTATGAAGGTCCTGTGTCTAGGATACCCCTTGATCCTAGCTTAAATCTGGAAGCCAGTAAAGGTCAACCAGTTGCTCAATTGGAATATTCACGAATAATAGGGAGTCTAATGTACTTGACGAACTGTACACGACCAGACTTGGCCTATCCGGTGAATAAGTTGAGTAGATTTACGAGCAGTCCCAGTCATGAACACTTGAATGCTTTGAAAAGGGTACTGAAGTACTTAAAGTACACCCTTGAATACGGGCTAAAATACTCGAGATATCCAGCAGTACTTGAAGGGTACTGTGATGCAAGCTGGATATCTGATTCGAGAGATTCTCACTCCACAAGTGGATATGTCTTCTGTATCGGAGGAGGTGCTGTTTCGTGGAAGTCCACAAAACAAACTTGTATAGCTCGGTCAACCATGGAGTCGGAGTTCATCGCTTTAGATAAAGCTTGTGAAGAAGCCGAGTGGCTTCAAAACTTTTTATCCGATATTCCATGTTGGAATAAACCTTTGCCGCCTGTGATGATTCACTGTGATAGCCAAGCTGCTATAGGAAGGGCGCAAAGTAACATGTACAACGGTAAGTCTAAACATATTCATCGTAGACACAATACCGTTCGCCAATTGATCACAAATGGTATTATTTCCATTGACTACGTAAAGTCTAAGGAAAATTTGGCTGATCCTTTTACTAAAGGATTGAATAGAGATCAATTGGGACTACTGCTAGAGGGAATGGGACGCTTGACTGAACCATCTGGAGTTATCTTACAGCTCACGAGCCATGAGGAAACTCGAAATCTTCACCCATTTCCCGGGGGTCCAGCTTATATTTGGCCCAGGCTATCTTCTCAACGAATAGGGAGTTAGTGATAACCCTACCTTACTGAATGGAGATCCCATAAACTTGGTTCAAGGGGAAAACTAAACTATGAAAATTCAGCTGAGCACTTGGAACATTTGAATGTCCAAGTCTATTCTCTAAAGCAATCCAAGTGCAAGATTACCTGTTGATTGTGGTGAGGGTAAGTCATCTAGACTTTTAATGAATCCCTAACCTTTTAAAGGTGGAGTAATACAAGATACTCTTGACATGGAGGTCACCTATATAAGTGTGAAGTGAGGGCCGCTTCAATTGTAAACACTTATGAATCCAAAGTGTTATCCATGGCCAAAACGGACACAACAATAGAACGGAATGGAGTTAAGGCTTTATTGTGTGAATGTCACTGTCTTGGTGTATACTATGGAGGAATAGTTCAAGGCACTATGTCCACTAAGCCGCCAGTACATCCGATGATGTTTACTAAGAAAGGTTCAAAGTCACAAGCTACATTTTCTGATGCAATAGGGTCTTGTGAGGATTGAGCACAAGAGTCTGCATACATGCATACATTTGATTTCCACTCATGTGGGGGATTGTTGGAAAAATCAGTTATAAAATATGGGTTTGACCCGATTTT